GATCTTTATTCAGATTTTTCTCAATTAAAAAATTATAGTTGCCTATCTTTGTCGCAATTAAAGACAACAAGAAAATTATTACAAATTATTCTATCAAATATTCTAAATCAGAATCAACGATTTTTATTATCTTAAAGACGGATGATACTGTTGTTTTAATGTTGTATTTTTTATAATAATTACGATCGAAATTATTAATACCAAAAACTGCAAAATATTATCATTTTTTTTTGTATTAAAAATTTAATTTATGAAAAGTAGAATGCCAAGTTCATAGATAATAATAAACGAATCAATAATCTCAAGAGGTAATTTTGAGATATTTAATTTCAAATAAAAAATAATGCACTAGAAGTTTGTATAAGAATACAAGAAAATATTGTAGAATATACGTTGTAAGACAACAGTTTACAATTTTTTTAAAATGTCACTTTTTATTATGAGAATTGAATGCTAATTGTTTCGTCTTCGTTATTGACATCTGACACGGAACAGAAAAGGAGCGTGTCATAATTTCGACAGGATGGGGTTTTGCTGTCAGTATCAGATCTCGGGTAACGGAGTTAAAACGCAAACAAAACAATGCATTTTTCCCTGGGCAACGGGAGGAGATGATCCTTACGGCCCTTTTTGACTGCGCGACTTCGACGAGTCGAAACTAACATAATCCAGACGCGTTTCTAGAGGCGCCCGGAACCCTTGACGCCCGTGGCTGGAATTCGAAAAATCGCCCCCTCGAAACTCGAACTCGGCGCAACGATCTCTCGCGCATTTTGTTGCTATACCTTTCATAATTTTTATAATTTAAATTGTCAATATAATTTAAATATCGTATCTAAAATTGTATTTAATATCTATTGTATTTAAATTTCATTTTTCAAAAATAAAAATATATAAAATTTATTAACCATTGCGAAAATGAAAATCATAATGCAAAAAATTTTTAAAATGAACTTTATAATATATATGAAAATAATCAAAGGCATACGAGAAAAAAGAAGAGACAAAAAAATCAGCATATAAAAAGTTATGAAACGTTGATTTTCATAGAATTTTCTTGTTAACTGATGCAATCTTATTAATGCGCCCTGTTAGTCATGCATGTAATTATATACACGCACAAGCGGCGCGTGGACGCACGTTGGGCTTCGTGCGTGGTAGGCGCCAAAAGATAGCAAGGCAGGCGCCTTCTTAACTGTGGGAAAGAAACGCCGGCGTCTGGAGAGTCCTACGGAGGCGCCGTGTGAGCATCCTCATGAATTTTTTAATTAATTTTCGCTTGTTTTTCGTTCAATTACAGATAACGCTGTTTCATGGTAAAATGATAGGTATTTTCAGGAATTTAAAACTTATATGAAGCCATAAGAAATATTCATATATTCCAATTTTGATGGAATGGAAATATAATTAGTAATGTTAATTAATAACTTTCGATTTTCTTTTAAATTTCGTACGAAATTTTTATCTCAAGAATTATTTTTCGACATCGATTATGATATCAGAGGCTGCAAAACTTAGAAATTACGTTTTCATAATCTAATAATTTATTAGAAATATATAATTAGAATAATTCATATATAATTGTTTGTTTTATTTAGTTGCAGAATTTATAATATATGTGTAATGATATTTGCATAAATATTTGTAAAAAATTTGTTTACTTATTACAATAAGATTAAACTCTAATTACTACAATTTTATAAGAATACTGTGACAGAGATATTCATTCAAATTTATACAAACTTTAATAGAAAAGTTATTCATAAATTAAAATATTTAAATTGACAATCAAAGGATCAAATATCCAGATTAGATAAATTTATGCAGAATAGATATACTTTAATTGCTCATATGCTAAACTGAAGTCGTGGAAGATACTCGGTATAATACGGTGTCCAGTTGCAAGACTGACCCATCCATGTTGCCGCATAAATGGGCCCTTTGTGCTGTCGTTTTGCGTCTAAATAGCCGCATGCGGCCTCGGGTGCCCTATCCGTGTATAGTTTATAGAAAAATCTCGCACGGTGGCGTGTATTCCACTAAGCTCATGGGGGGTCGTATGCCGCCCATGGTGAGCTGTCTGCTTTTTCGAAATCTGCTCTTTCTCTCGTAATTATTAATGATTGCTATATTAATAGACAATATCAGATGGACATCGAACAAATAGAGTGTTTATGAACAGATAGAATCTAAAAGAAACTAATATTGGATAGTGTTAACGAAATAATTTTCGTATATTTTGCACCTTTTTTAAGTTGTTGATATAAATAATAATATAATTAATAAAAAGATTATCATTCTATGAAATAATTGACATTAAATTAATTTTAGATTTTTGTGAAAATAATAGAAAGATTATAAAAATATAATTTCTCATTTTTAAAATATAAATTTGCAGTGATAAGAAAGAGACTCAATTAATTTCTCTATGATAATGCATTATAAAAATTGCTATATTAAAGTTATGCAACAGTACAGACTGGAAATTAGTCAGAAAACTATTCTTCTTGTTTCTTACGATCACACTAGAATTCGATCATAGTTGAATATTATTACTGTTGCAATAATAAAAAATATGATTTAACTGTATTAAACAATTAATATTTTATGCTTATTTAAGAAAAATATTTGCATATCAATTTGTTAACTACATCTTATTATCTCTTAAATTATTTTTTCAATTTCAATTAAAGACAATTTCAAATATTATGCTTAATGAACAAAGAATGCAATTTGATTTAAATTAATATTATTGCGGCATACTGAACGTAGAAAAATGTAATTTAATGACAATGAAAAGCTGGCAAGCAAACTAGCTGCATATCGCAACTTGCAGACTTGCAGAGCTGCAGATGAGGATGCTTCCTATTATATTTGAAGAGGTCAGCTCGACTATGTGTTTGAGCGCATCAAATGAGACTTTTGTCGTTTTCTTATGAGTGGTCCAGACAATTGCGTGTATCTGGATGTCTAGACGGCAGGTTTCATATTTTCTGTTCGGGCAAAAATCGCATTAATTTCAGTCTTTTCCGCTACTTAGTGTAACGATCGCCGACGGAAAGCATCCGCAAAATATAAATTCTTTTTTAAAATAATTTTTCAAGATTTTATTTACTATCTCTTATTATTTGTCTTGTGTATGTTATTTAATATATTTTTATATATTTTTATATATTTTTTTATATATTATATTTATGTATTATTTATATATTATTTATATATTATATTTTTGTTATATTTTATATATTTTTATATTATTTTTATATATTTCTCTTGTTTAAGATTGTTAAAATATATTTTTAATTTAGTCTATTTCAAGGATATATAATAATCAAATATGCTACGCTAATTGAGATTCATAGTTTATATTTATTTATAAATCTAAATATAACTTGTTAAGATATTTTATGGACAAAAAAATTGAAAAGGAAAAATATTACTAAATATATATCAGGATTTTTTTTTAATTATTTGTCTGTGTTAAATGCATTGTGGCATATAACATATATTATCAATTTCATAATTTTAGTATCATTTTGACAATTTTTATTACAATTTGAAAACATATACAACGTAATCGAAAAAAATGCAAATTAATTTTACTATGTGTTACTGCTAATAAGAAAGGCAGAGGAGAGGAATGTATTACGCAAATAATCATTTAATCATCGCTTTTAGAAACATGACTCGCAGCATGTTTCGATTGGTCGAATCTTCTTATAAAGGCGGGTCTTTCGTATTCTCCTCCGCCTTACATTACCGGCGGTTATGGCTGTCACGACGCAAAAAGATATTTTGCCGTCTCCTCGATTATTCGGACACTTTCAATATCAATAATTAATATAGCAGTCGTCCCTCTCATTTCTCAATTATGCTTGTTTATGCGATTTTTATCGATAAAAACTGAATTGAGAATTTTTTGACAGATCCTAATTGAAATTTATTTAATTAGGATCTTATATAATTCATAATTAAATAAATTAAAGATTAGGAGAATTTTTAATAAAAAGTTAGATTTTTTTATACAAGCAAATTAAAGTATAGATACTCCACTTAATCATTGAAATGTGAAAGAAAAACGATATAAAAGTTTTGAATTAAGTATTGAAATTTTAATAATAATATTTAATTTGCATAATTATTAAATCTAATTTAAATTGCAAAGTTTTTGTAAATTTTTACATTAATTACATTCATCTAAATGTTATATATATAAATATAGCGTCCAATTTAATTGCATAAGACTTTATGCAATTAATTTAGAAATCACTTAAAAATGATATGTTCATATATCTTCAAATATACATATATTACTATACATTATTATAATACATTTAAAATAATCATATTCGATATTTTCCAATTAATAATTAATTTCGTGAAAATCATGATGCACGGAGTTATCATTGAAAAGCGTGTGTGACTGTAGTAGTAAAAATCTTCAGTCATATACACTGATGTGCTCACACATTCACATCGACGTATCGCCGTGACGTTCCTGTGCGACGGGACCAACACTTGACTCCCTTGCAAGACCAAGTCACATTATACGTCTGCCCTCCGACCCGACCACTCAACCGTGACCATCCCCCGAAATAGGGATCGTTGGCGCATCGATAAACAACTCTTGATTACAATTTCGCGAGTTTTGCAGATTTGCAAAGTATTATCGAACTCGGTGATGTGTTTTTTTTATCGCATTGCTATTGAATTTCGGTGATTGATAAACTCATAAGTGAACTGTCAAGACTTTTATTCAAAAGATTTCGTAATCCAATTTGACAGCTTACAAAATGAGCAGACTATTATTTTTGTGCGTGAATTTAAAAAATGGATTTATAGTCAAACTTGATAATTAATGAAGTTTTCGAAAATTGTAGAGAAAAATATTAATTTGTTAAAGATTTATTAAATTATTATTTTGAGGATTTAAATGAATCAATTTCATTAAAATTATCACAATGGCACAGCAATCTGTCCAAGGTGAAAGCAAGATTTCTATCATCGAGTTTGTTCTTAAATTATGAAGATGAGACTCATTTAAGGAAAAGTGTAAAAGAAAGGTGATCATCCAGGATTTATTTAACGAAATAACGTTCGATGCATCACGAGTGTTTTGATTAAATATCGAGGATGCTTTAGAATGTTGTCTTCTTCAATATCGACTCCGTTCAGCGTTCGTGATATTCTTAATGAAGAACAGCAGCTTGGTGCCATGGACTGTTACGCACATCAAAATCAAACACAACAACAACATGTGCATCAAGATTATTATTCATATAATATTGTACCTGAGAACAATTGGGAAATGGATAAATTTAAAGAGCAATCGATGCCCAACTATCAGCATTATTCTGATCTCAATCACGTTCACCAATTGAGTCAGGTGGTACCACCGTATCAAGAAACTTCTATTACTGAAGACGGTAAGTATTATTTGATTATGAATATTTTATTTAAAATTGAATAATTTTTTTCACGGTATAATTATTTCTAATAATAATTTTTACAATACGAAATTATATTAAGCTATATTATATGTTATTCTTCACTCTATTCTTTAGTCTTTTCTTCTCATTAATTCAAATTAATTGTAATATAATAAAAAATGACAAATCATAGCAAAGATACTATATCGCTTTTTCTCGTGTTTTTTTTTTTTAATATTATGCGATTGAAAAACTTTATAAGATATTTTACAAGAAGCAGATATCGTCAGAAAAAAATAGGACAAGCAAGATTTAGATAGAAACAAATAAATAAATCTTAATTTAAAGAAAACAATCATTATTGAAATATAATGTTCTATTGCTTTTATTTCTCAAATATTTTAGTTATATTATAGTTTGAAGAATTTTAATTTTTTTTATTAGTAAAAATTGTTGAATAAATTCTCTCTAATAAAATAAATTATTTTCAGGTAATATTGTTACATCCAGCAAAACAGAATTGCGCAAAAGTCAATCTGGTAAAAGAACGAAACGAAAACCAAGAGTATTGTTCTCACAAGTAGGTTACATATCTTTAAATTAAATATTCTTTATATTAGTGATAATTGATGAATACTTATTAAAATATTTAAATATTCGATCCAAGCGGATTGTAACTCTTATAATAAAAATTTTCTAAAAATTTACAGGATTAATCTTAAAAATTATAAACTTAAAATTGCCTTTGTAAAAAATTACTTCACAACAAAAAATTAAAAAAATTAAGTAACGTAAAGCATTAAATTATAAATAACAATCCGCTTCGCAGACACAAGTTTATGAACTGGAACAACGATTTAAGCAACAAAGGTATCTGAGTGCACCCGAGAGAGAGATGCTGGCCCAAAATTTGAAATTAACTAGCACGCAAGTGAAGATCTGGTTCCAAAATCGACGATACAAGAACAAACGCGCCCGAATCGAAGATGCCGAAAAACTGCAGGCGCAGAATATGAAGAATCAATCATTGAAGAAAATTACTGTACCGATTCTTATCAAGGATGGCAAACCTAACGTTCAAGAATCTTACAACGGTCCTTACTGGCCGAATATCCGATCCGATTTAAGCGTCCCGATGCAGACAGATTTCAGGACGAACGAGATTCGTCTCAGTCCCGACTTTAGATCCAACTCGAACGAAGTGAGAATTGACTCCAGTATTAGCCCAGAGTATAAATCAGAGGTCAGCTCAGAAATGCCAGGAAGATCAAGTTTGCATAATATAGTGGATAGGCAGCACGTTCCAGAGTACAGAAACAATTTTGTGACGGAAACTCCACCGGGTGTTCACGATTGCGATCGATTAATCAAAACGCAATTTAAAACATGCGCGAATGGAAATGAAACTGCATCGTATTCAGATCTGAAAAATATCCAATCCGATAATAAACAGCTTATGACTGACAAGCGGATGCCTATGGATGTCTCTAGTGGCGAATATGGATTTCCCAATTATCTTGCTCCGCCTAATTATCAAATGCAGTACGTGAATTATATGGAACAAATACCTATGGATCAAAATTTACAGCGATTATGGTAGGTCTTTACGAGAAAGAATTATCTGACGTGAAAATTATAAATGATTGATCTCTGTACAATTTCTGCTTTCGAATTTATTATAATGATTTCAGTTGACAGGAGCTTAAATTTACGACACTAAATTATGCTCTACTGACATTTTATATTTGCTGAATATTTATTTGATGAATATTTAAATTTTATTATCTACGATGTGTGTGAATCCAAGTGCATTAACATTATTGAAAATTGATGTAACGACAAGGTGGTTGACAAGAATTATTATGAATAATAATGTATTTTTTATGTTATAAATAATTACTTAATTCATGTCACATAAAAAAAAAAGAAATGAAAAGGGGAAAAGGAATTTATATTTCTTATTTTTTAGAAAGCAGAAAGGAAATTTATTATTCTTATTTTCTACATATGTTTATTATAGATTTAAAACAAACATTTTATTTTATTTATTTAGTTAAATCGAATTGCTGTTTCTTGGAAAAAATCATGTAAAAAAACCATTCAAAAAGAAAAAATAATATGCCAAAGTAATTAATCAAAAATGTATTTTTTAATTTTATTACGGATACGCAAATAATTAAAGTTAAGTTAGAAGTATGCTAATCAAAGAATAAGTTTACGATATTGGCAGCTGGTTTTTTAGTTGACTAAGATTTTTCCCTTCGAAATAGTAACGCATCGTATAAGAGGCGGAAATTGCTTCAAGTGGCCTTTGCGGAAACATCGAGCACTTTTCCGCGGATGTTATATGCCTCGAAAAGTTTTTTTTTCTCTCTAACTTTCAAGTGCAGACGTTAGTTGTGCAATAAATTAATTTTATTCACGTGATATACCCTGCTTAATAAGAACGGAAATGTATGTATATTGTAAACAGTTACGGAGGAATGTTCAATTTTTTATTAAATATATAATGTGCATAAATCTAAAAAGTGCATTGTGTTTCTCCTACATATATTCTATTTAAAATTGTTTTAACTTGCCGTAAAAATAAGAATTTATATTTACAACTTATGAATTTTGCGATAGAATAATTCTTTCACAATTATAACTTACATCTTAAAATAAAACAAGATTTAAAAAAATCATGTATTTAATGATAAATAAAATTCTCAATCTACAAAATCTATCTACAAAATTAAACTCAAATTTTATACATAAGCAAAAAATTATTTCCTAATCAAGCAACAGTTTAGCGCAGTTTCAGCATAATAGTGACATTAAATATTAATGCAATGAAATATATCATTAATATATCGTAACTGTATGAAAAAGTTGTAATTTTAACACAGGTAACAATTCGCAAGAAATCAATTTATTTCTTATATCGCGTATTTTTTCTATCCATGACACATGCATCTTCATGTTCTGTGTATTTTCAATCGATATCGATTTCCATCGAATCAAATCCAATCCACATGCCTCTTGGAAGTTCGCGGTCCAATACAGAAATATGGCGAAATGGCATTTATAAATAGGTGAGTTCTGACAGCTTGAGCGAAACCATGGGCGCCTTTTAGGTTATCGCGCGAACGATGGGTCATCTGGCAGTCAAGTGCTGCCTACATAGACGATTTACATCAGTGTAATCGTGTTCATGGTGCTACTGGTGCCATAAAAGGCCATGGGAACAAGCTGATAAAAATGTCACTATTAATTTTATAAGGCTCATGTGGTCATATCGTATTTGAAGGAAGAACAACTTGCTCTCATTCTAGACATGCACCTGACTACACCTGCGGGAGATTTCAATTTGATAGGATAAATCGATTAACGATCTAGTACTGCTCTATATCATTTACATGAAAAAATAAAAAATTTTTAGTATAAAAGGGAGACGAGATATCGATAAAACTTAGATGAAAAAATGTTAATGTGGAAATGAATAAATTTGTTAATAAGTTACATAACTTTTATATTATAATTATAATTGTAAAATGTTATTAATTTTCGGCGATTAAATAAATCCTTTCAGCGTCAATTGCGTTTTTCACACTTAAAATGCGTCGATGCATCATTCCACATGCACCATATAGTTGTGTCCTCTAATCATTATAGTTCCATTACGATGTCATGTATTCAGATAATCAATCATAAAACGCTCAACATAGAAATTTGATCTTATTTACTTGTAAGGGGAAGCATGACGCGAGGTCCCAAGAGAGGAAAGAGCGCGATGCTGTGCAAATAGATAAGCATATGCATAAAACGGCCAATGTCTACAAATCAAACGATTTTAATTAAAGATGAGGCTTTTTTGCGCCTATAAATGTGGAGATCATTAATCATCTGACCTTTAGACAGATATATTTTTCAACGATATGAATCGATTTCTATTACATATTAATTCTCTGTTTCACAAGACTTAAAAAAACCAGAATAAAAATATTAATATTTATAATTTATTTATAATATTTATAAATGATAAATATTTATAATTGAATTATGCATTTTTAAATATGCATTGCGAATTATCGATTGCCGAATATTCAGATTAAAGGATAATGTATTTATCTAAAAAACAGAATATATCATTTGTATGTATTATTTTATATTATTTCCTAATTTTAGTATTTTATTAAAACTACTGATTATGCTAGAATATTTTTATTAAAGTCATTCAAAATATAATAGGGAAATGGTATGTTAAAAATGCATGTACTTTACACTTTTATTTTAATAATAATTTATATACATAGAAGAACATTTATTAAATAACTATTTTAAAGAACAATTTAAAATCTTTTTTCTGTAAGAAATGATTATATTTAAAAAAGAAATATTTATATTAATCAAATCAAAATCTCTACTTTATCAACCTGTGTCAAGTTATAACCATGTGTTGCTTACATCAGTATGTTGAGAGGTCGAGGGATGTTAAAGCTGCTTCTCTCTCAGGAGAACTTAAGTCTAAATTTCTAATTTATCAGCACGTGAAACAGTCATTCAATTAATGCTTTTTGCTACTGACATATCCTGCACTCTATATTTTGATATAGAAGGGACATTTAGAAAAAAAATGTGTGTGTATTTTATTTTATAAAAAGATATGTTTTCCCTCTCATATCATCAATGATAAGATTTTTATTTTAATTTTGTACTCAATGTTATGATTTATTATTGTTTTATTATGCATCATTTTCGAAATAGCATAAAAGACAAAGTACTTTGTTAAAATTTATTAACTGTTCATCATTTGTATTATATTTATGAGATCAAACATATAATTTATTGTTTTGCTAACATAAGTAATATTTTTGCTTTCAGAATACGAAGACGCTCGAAGTATTATCGAATACATGCTGGTGAAGCTATTGACGTCTCTATCCTCGTAGTTCGTAAGTATAAGAAATATTCGAAAGAATTTCTTTGGCGGCTGCATGAAACACCGCTGATTGGCCGCTCGTACGCCAATTTTCCTCGACGGCGCTTCGCCACGAAAAATCGCTAAATTGCTTCTTTGAAATGCCGGAAAAGCGGAGGAAACGGTTCCCTCCGTAGTTCGCTCGACAAGTTCTCCTTGACTTCAAGCGTCGTTACCCGCTTGATGATCCGCGATGTACTCGGGCTGATTTTCTCCCTTCGTAAATTCAAAGCAGAGCAGGCATTAATTTCGAGAAGAAGAAATATTTTCACACGTGTGAGAATAAGTAAAAACTGCGTAACGTTTGTAAAGTGAAAAATTTACACTAAAGAAGTTCTATATCTTTCTTCGAATAATAATAGATACTTAAACTTAGGTAATTATCTTTCATTAAAATTTCTTTCTTATATCACTAAAAAGAATATGATTTTAGAAAATATTAAATTAAAGCAAGGATTAATTTGAATTTTTTATAAGTTTTTAGTTTTCTTTGATTATAAAATAATGCTCTAAATTTCGTAATAATTGTATAATAAGCATTGGCTTCTTATATTAATAGAAAATTATGCTGTCTCTTTATTCGACAGTTTAATTAAGATTATTGATCATCAACATATAGTTTACCTAAAGAATAACATACAGAGCTGAAGGAATGAAATAACACAAAAGAGATTTAAATATTTGAAAATTTATATTATACTTATATATATAAATCCTATTTGTTTCTGATGTGACATTTCGAATGTTTTCGACGAAATGGAGAAGTGTCCCCTTTAACGTTTTCAATAGTCCATGTGACACTCCGGCTCCTAGGTTTCCTTGGCAACCATCCCAATTGAAACGCGTGTCAGAAGTCGGAAGAATGGTATATAAGAGAGATAGGAAAAAGTGACGACAAAGACGAAAGTAACTGAAATCTCAAACTTGGAACCGGCAATTCCGTTTATATTACTTGGAGGGCATGGTGAAATCAGATTCACGCGTTTGTTGTACTCGTGAAAATAGAGAGGAAGAACTTGTTACATTTTTTTCTATTATTTTAATGTCTTATCAATTGCAAACTGACTGCACATTGCGAATCTTTTTGACAGTTTGACTTAAAGATTTTCTTTACACGATTTATGAACTATCAACATACATATTTTATGTGAAAAAAGTTTTAATTATACTTTTAAATTTGCTCGTTCGTTTTACATTTATTGTAAAAGATATTGCAGACGCTCGAAAAAATCAGAATTTTTTTACCCCGCACGCAAATGGCTCGTGCAAAATTGATAATGCCTGCTATGCAGCCTCGAGCAGCTGAATTGTCCTCTTTGTACTTTTTTACATGAAATTCAAATTAATCTTGCCTCAATAATCTTTTTGCGGTTAATATGATTCTCGATATATATACTTGTCTACGAATTCATTAAACCATGAAAGATATTTAGTCAACGATATATTAGAAGTATCAAATATATTTTTATTTTTTAGTTATAATAATTATTAGAGAGAGAGAGAGAGAGAGAGAAAATGAATATTTTAAATAAAGAAAATGAAAAATTATATTTTTCTTGAATATTAAGAAAGATATAAAAAAATTTATTTAAGAAAAATAGTAAAAATAGTAAAAATATTAATATTAATTCAGTTTTATAATTATGTGATATATTTATAATAGAAAACGCAATATTTATAATATTATTACTGTAACAAGCTCGCAATTTGTATAACTTACAAAATATAAGATTCTAATAATATTTTCTTCATTATAAAAATTTTAATGCAAGTAAAGTATCTAAGAAAAAAAAATCTTCAGATTTTATTATTTAATAACATTTTTAGAGTAGCGTATAAAAATAAAAATTATGTATCTTTATTTTATACTAATAATTTTTCTAGAATATTATATTTGCAAAATTTTACCAGTTAATTTACCAGTTAATTTTGCCAGTTTATCTTCCATTTATTTAACGCACAAAGCTTTGTAGTGACAAACGAAAGAGATGCGCTTATAGAGAAACCGTGTAACGAGGGGGTAAGGCGTAGAATCGTAGTGGATGATCGAGGGAGAGGGCGGTCTTGCGCTATTAACAGCTAATGAAAATTAGCTTTCGTCGGTTGATTGAGCGTTAAATCGTTCCTTTCTCGTTTTACGGGACTAGTCCGTCAGTGGTGCACTCGAACTAACGTACTCCCGCTACAAATTGCGAGCTTGTTACAGTCGATAGCAAATTCCTGAGTCAAGGATTGAAAATGGGATTTGTTTTTTACATTCATATCTTTTTAATTTAAAAGCATCGACACTTTTTTAGAAAAAATTTGTTGATAAAACGTTGCCAATTGATAATAATGTTATTTCAGTAATGATATAATTTCAATTTTTATAAATAAAACAAAAATATTAGAGTATTATATAAAAATTTTTATTATATTGTGATTAATAGACTTATTTAACTAATTATTATTTTTTTCATTATTATTAGTTTTATATTTATAACGATTATACGTTATATAAAATAAACAGACTTGTAATATTATTGCAGCAATTTATTTATAATAGGGTTGATGTAATTTTAATGACAGTAATTAGTACGACGACTTCTATTCGTAATCTATGTTGGTAGTACCAATGTGCGCAATAGAAAATCGGTGGAGCTTGTAGACTTTATAGCCGTTTCTGCAGTCCATTATTGCTTCGTTTATAACAGTTCTAAACATTGTAAAGTCATAATGCTCTCGTGCTAAACGAGGCCTTGTGTCGATGTACAATCGCTATTAGTGCCGAAACTCGTAATAATTTGCGGCTTGCGTCACGAAAATTATGCTGACCACTATAGTTTATTGATACTCAAAAGCGCTAAAAATACGAATTACGAAATAAGTGAATAAACGATTTTTCATCTGCGAATTCTCGTACATTTTTGTATAAAATGTATTATTTAATTAATAATTTCTTTTAATTTTTTATAAATTGTTTAATCATTTAAAACATTTAAAAATGTATTATTTAAATATATTCTGTTTTCTTACGTTTTTGCTAAATAATTTACATCGTAAAGTCGTAATGTCGTACAAAGAATATGTATTGTGATAACTTGTGAAATATTCTATATAACTCTCATGAAAAATAATGCTGTATGTACGTGTATGCATGCCATTAAAACTTAAGAAGTCTAAACAAATACATTAAAAACTACTAATTCTCTTCTTAACAACTCGAAAGACCGCCTCATAAGGATTTATACGGCGGAATATAAAAGGCGTTTTGGCGAGGGGAATGTAACATTTTTGTTTACAACAGATGAGTGTCAGATCTAGATTTTTTCTCGTCCGTCGGTTAAGCTTTCTCGTCTCCGCGTCTGAATAAACATATCTGATGTCTGCTGGGCCCACCCAGATGCAACCATTAAAACCCTTATGAGAAAGTCAGTTGCAATACCAATGAGAAATCTCATTTTTCACCTGCAATGTTACGCTTTTTTTTCAAAATTGAAGGGAATCCAGGGAAAAGGAGAAAATATATACGTACAATAGATTCTGGGTGATATACATTTATTTAAAGACATTTACGCGATCATCTGGGTGTACTTAAACAATAAATTGAATTTGAACATAGTACACTCGTGACGCACACTAAATAAATTTCGTTAGCATTAGATATTTAATTCAGACTTTTTACACATTGCACATAGTCCGCTAGTAATTGCACATGTTTTAGAGGTAATTTGAAGAACACATTTTCCATTTTTATTTAAGAGTCATAATTTATACGTCTGCCAATGCTCTCCCAATTAATAAAAAGCTCCAGATATGATTTGGCATGTTACAATGTAATAATTGCATACAATATCATCTCCACTTCCCTTCGAGATATGAAACCTTAAAGTTAAAAAACTTACATCAAAAAGTAAATAGAGAAGCATTAAATTAGCAGATTACAAGAGAACCTTTATTCTTTAAAGTCTTCCTATTTTTTTAAGTTTAAAGTTTGATATCCCTGACAACATAAGAAATAGAGGTGACTCAATATTTCGTATTTTATACATTTATTTACAGGCTAATTTACATCATTTTTATATCGTTATTGAATTACAATAAATATATGATAATTTCAGACAGCTCTATAAGATGAATAGTAAATTCAATTATTCTGCATATTATTATGATTCTAAGAAACAGACTTTTTGTATCATACGCCGAAATACAATTGAAAGGTTTAACAGTAACGTGTTAAGAGCGTATTTGATAGATAAGCTATTAAAAAATATCATATAAATCGTTAGTAACATTCAATATAGATGTAGTCATACTTCGAACATATCCTTTGATATTCTAAAAAAGATGCAAGATACACTCTCGTGAAGAACCTCATAATTCAAGAATTAAATATTTTAAAATAATTTAATTAGCTGATGTATCAATGGTTTTCGATTGAATTTTTAAATTAAATCAATTAGAATGCGAAATTAGATGTAGGTCAGATGTTAATTACAAAATATTTTTATCAATCTTTTTCTAATTATTATCATGTCTATTTGTTTTATTTTTTTTGTCAGAAAAAATATATCATCATATGTGGAATATACCGCATGGATCATATAAGAGGGCGACTCTACTCTGTGTTTTCTTCTCTTGCAAGTATGTACGATAAATCTGAACATCAGATATAAATCCCTTGATGTTGAAAAATGAACGATGTTGAAATGAACAATTTGCTAAATAATTATGCATTCTTTTCGCCGGAATAAATTTGACATTGGAATTCGTTCGCGCTGTAGATCAGCTTTGCTGATCATGATTTTCGCGTGTGTAATTGAGCATGCTGTTGTTTCAAGTCGTTCAATTCATATTTTAGACAAAGTCGCAGATTTTCAAAGTCTTCTTTCGATATTTCGCGATACTAAGATACCATTATTCTAAATGATTGTATTTTACATCATGCACGTAAGTGACTATCTTGGTGATATGATGAAACGATACTCGACATTTCGCGAGAAATCTATCGTTCATTTCTCGTTCTTGATTTTCGAGATTTGATTCGGATCGAAGTCGGGCGCGATCGGGCTCTGTACCTGAACGTGGGTGGCGTGCAGGGGCGGACAGAGTAGCGGATGATACGGTAGACAGTAATATGGGAAGCCGCCGAGCGCTTTGTTCGCGGGGTGAATTTGCGGGCTCGGCATTTGGCCGGGAAGTTGTCCGGAACCACGAAGAGGCAATCCCCTCAAATGCTCGTCCGGATGTACCAGGACGCGTACAGCCACGCGTCTGGCGCTTCCAGAATTTACGAGGGCACCTAATTCCTGCTGTTGGCGCCGCTTGGTCTTGTATCTGAAGTAAAGACAATAATAAATGATATTTAATGAAATTCCAAAAAGGGGATTTATAATCCGAGTAGTATAAAATTAGATTCTCTTTCCCCGAAAAAGAAACTTTTACATCGAATCTGAAATTAATTATATAAATATAAATATATGAGAAATTATACCGTCGATTTTGAAACCAGATCTTGACTTGCGTCTCCGTTAATTTTAAGCCGCGTGCCAGATCTGCCCTCTCCGGACCCGACAAATATTTTTGAGCGGCAAATCTTCTTTCTAATTCATACACTTGTGCGTGTGAGAATGCTGCTCTGCTGCGCTTTTTTCTATTCTGCAAACTTTGCCCCGAATTTTGCGTCTCGAAAGCATCATCTTCCACCTCATCTGCAAAACGTAGAAGAATAAATTTCTATTTTAAAATTAAAATCACAGCTTCTTTTACATGTTTTACGGAAACTTAAATTAATAGAAACTTATAAGGAATGAAAGTTTTATTAAAATTTTCGTGACATTCCGATTCCATTAAATATTTTCTAGAGGGCATATATATTTTAAATTATTACAGTATATTAAAAGAAAAGAGAATGATTTTGAAGCTTTTGCATATCAACGAGCACGGAATCTCATTTTTCGAATAACGCGAGCTTGCCGAGTTCAAATTCGTTTGCGGATAAATATTTAGATTCACGCGAGAATCTGCAACTATACCGTAAAGCAATCGTTTAGCCCGAAAGTCGGAGTAACCATCAGCGAGCGGCCATAGAAACGGCGAACGATCGGAGAGAGAAAGAGAGAGCTTCGTTGCTTTTGATGTCTCGAACAAACATTAACACATGTACTCGCTACTCCGACATGTTTACGCTTCTGTTCCGCGGTAATTCTCCTCTAAGTTTAACCAGTGGCACTAGAGTACAATCATATTGCAGATCACGCTAACTTCTTCTACTTGGCAATGCGCTTGATCCGCTACTTTGCAATACAAATATCTTATTATAAACAAAAAGTAATATGCAATATTTTAATCAAGAAAATAAAAGCTTAAACCATTGATTATAAAAATAGCTCGCCCTCTTTATTAACTTTATATAGATTATTGTGATATCTATCGAGATATATTTGTTCTTTTTATCATTCATATATATTAATCAAAAATAAAATATTTTATATTTAATTTATTTTTTTGAAAATTTAACTAGATATAATGTTGCAATTTTAATCGCGAGAATTTTTTGTCCATGAAGACTGTATCAAAGAAACTAAATCCAAATTATTTAGCATAAATTTCATATATTTTAATGTAAAAAAAATTTGCATCTTTGATGTAGAAATAATCAATTCTCCAGATTCATAATAATTTATCGATAAGATATCATATTTAAAGATTTATAAAAATGCTTTTTCTATATTTTTATTAAATTTCACGTACAAAAATATAATTATATTTATTTATTACTTTTATCATTTTTAAATTAATATAGAGGAAAAAGAAAAATCAATTTCCTCCACATCTGTCAGTGTATTTCCGCGAGTTCTTTAATCGCGAAGTTCTCCGAGATAGTATTATAATTATTTCGCGCTTAAAACGCTCATCCTACGTCAATGTTTATCGTCGGTGGTCAGCAGGGGATATGGAGCATTTAGAGAGATCTATATTTGATCACTTTCGACGTCAACTAGATGCCATCTCGTCCGGCTAATGCGTCCATCCTTCGGCGCTCGTCAAACATCCTACACCGCGTCTATATCGAGAGTACAGTTCCAGACGAGCAAGTGGCGTCGACTGACTCTGATTACATCGATGATCCTTTAAAACCACTAAAACGCTTTTTGGTTCCTCTGTCTCAACCTGTCTCTTAGCATACGATGGGCGTATATTGGACAGAATTTTCCCAGTTATTACCGTAATAAAGAATTAAAAATCATTTATCTATGTCGATATCATCTCGATTATGTTCATTATTACATTAAATGACTGGAGAGATTTTCCCTCGTGAAAGTGAACTCGTAATTTTCTGAGTGCACCTTGAATCGGTGCCAGCTCGTGCCTATCTCTTCACCCCGAGTCGCTGCAAACAATATGCTACCGTGATTCGTGCGGTTTCAGGTGGCGATCCTTCGTGTAAGAGGAGGCGTTACACTATGTTTCCGTAAAGTTAATTATCGTGTATTTTTTATAGCACTAGCTTTAACATTTTTTAAATGAAATCTTGTATAGTCATATATTTTCTATTTACAATCCCTTCTGAAATTATTACAATTTATGTTATCGATGAGTTTTTTAAATCATTTGGAATTGATTTTTAATTTGCAATATAATTTTAGGAGGCCAATTATTATCAAATATTTATTAAATCATCGTAGCTAAATATATCTATTAAATCTGAAATGCAAATAATTAATCCAGAGCTACAAGTTAGTAGCAATTGTAAACGTAAAAATCTTTATTATTATATCTAACAATTCTATAAAGATAAAATAGAAATCACGTGTACATCTCGCGTCACGGACGCTGTTAATCATGATTGATTTCTCGAGCAGTCAGTGCGAGGGAAAATATCTCTGTTTACTTTTATATTAAGATAACACTATTCGACCATGTAATTCAATACTTGCTCTTCGCAGTTACGAGGGCGAATATATATTACGAAAAAATGAATATGGTACAAAAAGATGCAAAGATTAACTAAGGAAAATATCGCTATACAACGCTGTAAAATAAAAAAACTGGTATAAATTCCATTTAATAAATAGAAAATAGCACCATTCTATACAAAATTGTACAGTATAAATATTACGCAAGCGAATGCAAACGATTAATGATAACAATTATATTCCTATCCTGTATATAATATTTAATACATCTGTTTCGAATAAATTAATCGCGAACATTTCGGAAATAATTAGGAATTGTAACCTTGATCTAAAACAATTTTTGAGGTAATCCACGGATCTTTATGTGCTCTCGAGACAAGGAAACAGAGATGCTGGCAGAGGTGCGGCCAGAGATTGAACAAGTGCAAGAAGTAATCGGTACTCGTGACGTCTGCCGAGTCGAGTGGCACTTATGCTACTAAAATTACATTCAATTATGTTATCTGCGCTCGGGTTAAACTTTAAAAACCCTTGAAGGAGCTCGCCTGTTACGCGTATCTGCTTAAATGACCTCTTAAGCCCGCATCCTCGTGCCCGACGTAAAATCATCCGACAGGTCACCATCTTCCAGCATTTCGAAGATATTGTTTTTAATCACGCGACATATTAAGCATTTATTAATCCAACTATTTTCCAAAAAAATTTTACTTTAACTTTACTTTTTACTAAATTTTTTATTATTATTAATTAATCACTGTAACCTACAGTATTTTTATAATAGCATTCACGAACCTCGTATTCTTATTTTCTGATTATTTTAATATAATATTTTAATAATAATAATTTAATTATATTTTGAAGAAAGTGCCATTTAATGTATCGCATGCATATGTGTAATAAAATTGTTATATTTTAATTATTAAATTATTAAACGCGAAAAGAAAATCTTGATGCTATTTTAACATCATTTTCAATGTTGGAAAATCGCTCAATGAAAATTAATTCACGCAAACAGTATCACGTACCTAAATACTTATTTTTACTCATGTCCAACGCTTCGTCCTGCTGTCTGTGAGAGGTCTCCATCGGTTCTTTAACAGGCTGATACGCCGTCAAGTTTTCCAGAGTCTCGAGATGATGCTTGAAAGATCCCTGGGTTAAATGCGGGATGTTTCCAAAATTTGATAAATTTGCTTGCGCTAGATTCCTTCTCAGGATATCCAGTTCGTGCGCCATGCTCAGCTCCGGGGTGGGCAATCTCGGATAATGAATCATCTGATCATGATCGTAGTTTCCGTCAAACTGCTCGTTCTCTGTTACGCGCTCGTAATCCCGATTGTGTTTTCTAATCGGCGCGGAAACTACAGCCTGGATTTTCTCCAAGTCGCATCTTTTCGAATCCGCGCAGGAGGTTCTCCGACTTAGAATGTCGGCGATGCTGAAGGGAGTCGGTTGAGAAGGTTTCGGCGAGGTTTCGCTGCGCTTATCGTCTTCCATCACTTAGTATTTCGTACGAGCTTCTCGCAGATCTCGCGATAATTACGATAAAAACTGTCTGAAAATTGATTTTTCGCAATTGTCTCTTTTTCAAATTTTTCCAATCTTTTTCTTCATAATTACGTTACAAACCGTTGACCGTACACACACGAGGAAGCTCGTCGCGTCACATGTTACGAATAGTCACCTAGGTCCACTATCTTGTCTTTGTAATGTATTGTTTTCTTTTTCACCTCTTTTGTGAACTTATTGAAAGATTACACTGAATTTTCCCAGTCACTCAACTGTCACTCTCGCTCGTTACCAGCGTCGCCGACACGTCGGAGCGGAGAATCGGCCGACGAATGCTAGATGTCTTCCGCGTTCACATAATCCCTGGAGGCTCTCGAGCAGCCAGAGGATCGCTGGTAGGCCGACTGGCGTTATTAATTGTTATTCCCGAGTGCTCGACCCTTTCGATTCGAGTGTGCTTCGGTCAAGTGTGCTTGTCGCCCGCGGAGACTTATTTTTCGAATTACCACACTCAACCCGCGGACTCTCCCTTCCTCCCTCGTAAAGAGCCTCCCTCTTTTGCCCGAACAACCCCCACCTAAGAGACGCTTGCTCTTCTTTGCCTTTCTCTCTCTCTCTCTTTCTCTCTTTCTATTTTATGAAAATCTTTCTAGTTTCACACAGATAATGTCGAAATATGGTTTTGTCCCTTCATCGAGAGGCCAAGTTTATCAAGTTCTGACTGTGTTCTCATGAGCTATCGATCTCCCGCTATGTATTGAAGAGATGTACCTTTCCTCTCATTAACGAGCTCGTCGGTGCTTCTCGTTGCCCACCCTCTCGGTCCCGAGTCTCCCGAGCTTGCACGCGCGAATTCTGAGATAGGTGGAGCTTTAGATATTCTACGTGCTACCGGATGCGATGCTTCCGTTACGACACAAGCCTCGCCCTACAACCAATCCGTCGCTTTTCCCTCGACTCCGCTTTTCCGCGATGGCCAATCCAGACGGAGGCGCGAACCGGGAAATATTCCGCGACGGAGTGGGATTGTGGGAGATTTTTAGATCATCGTAGTCGTCGCGACTCCGCCGGAACTGTACGGGTACTTTAGAGATTTTCTCGTTTTGTCACCTGTGTCAGCGAGAAATAATAAAAGGCCTCTCGGGTTCTTACGACAAAGCAATCACTCACTCATCATTATATACGACGATAGTTTGATAATTGATGTGTGTTTTGCGCAATCGAGATTACTTACATTAATATTTGATCAAAATGTGCTTTAATATATTAAGGAAATAATTATTTAGTTCAGTCGGATTAAAATTTGTTAAATTTTAAAATATTCTTTTACAATAAAAACAAAATTATTAGATTAGTACTTAATTAATTTCACATACTTAATCAATGTATTAATCTTTTTTACTCACTTCTTACATCATTTATTCTTCTTCAGTTATAATATACACTAATATGATCTAATTTTAATCTTAATTTTCACATGTTCTCATTTTTTTTTAATATTCATATTAAAATTAAAATTTTAATCGTGATTGCATGACCAATTGTATAACCAATATTTTAATTTTATATATTATATAATGTACTTTTAAATATATATTAATATCCACACAATCTTATACACATATATCTTATATATATATATATGTTTAAAAAATTCCTTTTTAAATACATATTTAAAATATTTAATGTCTATAAAATTTATTTATTGTAATACATTTATGTTATATTTTAGTACATTAAAAAGATGACATCTGAATGGAGATTCGATTTCTTTTTACTAGAAAAATTTGTAAAGGATGCGAATAAAAATGTAACATTTTGTATAACATCAAAGTTTTCTTCTTGTAAAGTATGATGAGAATTGCCATTCGAGAGACCACGTCTCTAGTGGATAAAAAGCGATCGAAGTTGTACTAGTTGAATCGCAGCTAATGCTTTCAAAAAGTTACTTTGCTCTCTCTATCTCTCCTTCTTTCTCTGCATATAGGTACAAGCGAGGTAGTAGAGGTACCTACGTACTCTCGTCTTTACGTTCTCTCGATACGATACGAGAGAAACTATGCGGTGCATATATAGGGTGTGCTTTCCATAACAATCGCCGCTAAAGACTCGCAGTATTGTTCGCCACGTGCTAGCACCCGAGTTCCTATGGCAGTTTAATTAAGTGTGAACCGCAGGAACGTGGACTACGCCTGACTTGACCCGATGATGACCTCGCGCGCTCGAGATATTGATGAGAAAATACTTTCGCCTTCCACCTTGTTGGGCAAAATATGTTATTCGTATTGCTTGTCAAAAAGATGCATGTCGATTTTAGATTTTATAATCACAAAAATAATTGAAGATTAATTCAAAATTAAAAGTATATTTTTATCTTTTAAGAAGAAAATAAATTTCTTAATAAAAGAAATCGCTACTAAAAATATAAGCAATTAAACATTGCAGATGACATGCAAGTTATATATTAATAATTATCTGTCAATAAATTTTATTGTTAAATAAAAGACATTACATATGCATAGAGTGCTACTATTATACCTTGAACATCCGGATCGGAAATTGGAAAAACGATGTCTGCCATTTGCCGTTACACTCCGTTATACGTAGACAATCTCAAGCCAATCTTAAGTCTACATACCAAGACCTCTTTTTCTCGATCCGATCTAATCAATAATAAATTATAGGGGGATGGTAGTACGTCTCTCCCCTAAAGCTAAGGCTCTGACCCTCCCGCTCAATTGGTCGCAATTCTTAAAGACCTTAATTGGCGCGGAAAATTATACCTTATTTCAGTTACCCCCGAATAAGACCAGTGTCCGCCCTCCGCGTCGTCCTTTACTCAGCATCGCTATACTTTGTTACCTCTCGTCTTCTCCTCCTTCGCTCGAATTTTTGCCACTCGGATATTTTTTTTCCGCTGTGAGCAATCGCTGGAAATATCGAGATTGAATGATGACGAATGTTAGAGCGAATGAGACCTTTATCGAGAAACAGTCGTGAATTACGTCGACCGATTAAGGACTAAAGTGTTAGTCATTTACGAAACGAATTCGCTGTCAGTGAACGCACATCCGTCTGTCGGCTTCAGCAGTTGTCATTCTCGCGACAAGTCAGTCCCGTTGTGCAAAAAGTCGCCGGTCTCTACGCTCGTCTCGAAGCCTTGCGGCTACCCTTTTAACAAGCTCGTCGTCGCCTGTCGCGCGAAGAGAGCGGCTGGAGATGTCCCATAAAATCAAATAGTTCCGTACGAGGCTCCTTCCGAGGCCCGATTTAACCGGCAGTCAATAAAGACTTGTGAGCCAGCGGCGACCGAGCGGCTCGTTCAACGACCGTATCGAAACGAAAGCGAAACGTTAACGTAAACTGAAAAACAATCGTCGGCCACGGCGGCTGTCACTCCAACGAGGAGTTGGCATCCGCGTAGCGAGTCATCTGTTCCCTACGCGGCCGCGGTCGTTTATTTTTCCAGAATGCCCGCTAAAACACCGTCATTTTGCCCGGGTCCTCCGAGTAATTTCGACTATTTATAACGGTCCACTAGGACGGGCTATCAAGGCGCTTTTTACGGTGAAGGTGCTAACGCGAATCGATGAGTAATGCATATTACGCGGTAATCTTAATTTGTCGTGCGAGCACGAAGAGGCTATTTATTTATCTTATTTATTTTTACATTCAATGGTAGTGATAAAAAATTTACAATAATAGTACATTCTAAAGAATCGTATTTATAATTCATGGCATTTTCTCAAAAATTGCGCAATCGTTTTTCCTACAAAAACGAGAGATATTTCTTGTCCAATCTTTCTGTATTTTTTGCCATTAATATATTACAAATTTTTAATGTTCAAAAATTAGTATAATTATATATTAATGTCAAATAATTAATTTAATGCACTTTTAATTCCTCGACACGTGCCATTTGTGTAACATTCAGTTAATTTGTGTATCTCTACGATTTTTATTATTATAGAATTTGAATCAAAATTTTAAGTGCAGGGCAAAACATAAAGACACCATACAAATATTTTATATGAGTCAAGTTAGAGCGATCATTAATGAAAAGAATTTTAACATAATTTCACAACTTATTAAGTGAAATTTTGCATGCATAAAATCTCTAAAAAATTATATATACAATTCACATACTAAAAAAATAAATGTCAGAAGTCAGAAAAAAATAAGAAACTTAATTTCAATTATTATTAATGCAAAATATTTTATTTCCAATAATAATATTGGAAATTAATTATTTGTTTTTATAAATCAGCAAAACTAGATGATTAAATTTTGCCTTATAAAATGCCTTTTTTTTAATTAATGAAATATCAGATAATCATGTCATATTATATCAAGATCATGCTCCATTAATTATAATTAATATAGTTGAATATATAACAATAATAGTGACTTGAGAAGTTCAAGAAGTTAGTAGGAAAATGAGAAGAGAAGGATAACGGGGAGAGAGAGAGAGAGAGAGAGAGAGAGAGAGAGAGAGAGAGAGAGAAAGGAGGAAGAAAGGAGAGAGGGAGAGTGAATGAGCGGGAGTGGCGGCGGCAGCGTACATACACTAAGCACTAATATTACGTCTCTGGACTGACAGACGCGCGGACTTTAAAACCCAAGACTAACAAACAGTTAGCAGTCATCCGGTCTTCTTGTTTTTATATTCTTACGCGCGCGTTCACGCGCACGGCCGCCCATATCGCGCGTCAGCGTTCGCGTGAGTAAGCTTCTTCTCCCCCCGTGTATTATTGGTTACTTTCGCGTCGTCAAACAGCGATCGAAATTTCCTGCTCGTCTTCGCCGAAAGCAAGCACGAGATTTCCTGTCGCCGAGGAGAGATTCAAAAAGTCAAGCCCCCTTTAAAGTAAGAGCAATTTTTATCACTCAAAAAATTGCCCTCAGGTATCATTCGAAAGATTGATTATTGATTGTTCTATTGCAATGTATATCATCACGCATAAATTTGCATATATACTATCATACAAATATATATATATATATATATATATAATTTTTTATATATTATAAATTTATATATATTTATGCATATAATAGCCTTTACTATAACTAATCTATTATCTGATAGGATTATATATGCAGATAAACTTAAAATTCAGTAAACAATAAATTCAATTTTTTAATTTAAATATATAATTAATTCAATTTAGAGAGAAAAAAATGTAATAATATCAGTAATATAAATTGTTTATAATAAAAATAAATCATCTTATTAAGAGTCGGAGTTAGGTTTGTAAAGAATCTGTTATTTATTTTAACTTCGATATTCTCTATACATTGCGTTTTTGTCCGAAAGGTTTGTAAAATAATAATTATGTTCTATTTTCGTATTTATTAGTTATCTGTTTGATCGTATCAAATGCAATTTTAAAGTGATCATTTGTAAATCGATTTTGTATTTTAAATATTTAACGTCATTTGATTTAACAATCTAAAGATGACATATAAATTATATATATATATATTTCTATCAAAAGAGACTAAAAAAAAATTTCATTTTTGCATTTGATTTTTGTACTTACATTGAATAGTAAAGATATCTGCTTTAATAAATAGAGATACTTGAGATAGTT